GTAAAAGTCACATAGAAGCGGTTCCCATCCTTCGTGGTTGATCTAAAGGGTCCACATACATCGGTATGTATTAGGTCCAATAGCCCTCACCCCTTTCACAAGTACTCGTGAAGGGTGACTTAGTCATCTTTCCAAGTAAACAAGACTCGCATGTGTCATCTTCCCTAAGGTCGAATGACTCCAACACTCCATCCTTTTGGAGTTGGGCTATGCGTTTCTTGTTGACATGTCCAAGACGACAATGCCACAAGGATGCTTTATCCATACTAGTGGAAGAATCAATATTCAAAACATCATTTCCTAAGTTATCAACAATCATAACAGTTTCATATATTCCATTACATGGTATAGCTTCAAAGTAAAAGACACCATTTAGATAAGCCAAAATAGAACCATTCTCATTATTAAAAGAAAATCTAAATCCTTGTCTATATAAACCATGAAATGAAATGATGTTTCTAGCCATTTCTGGCGAATAGCAACAATTGTTCAAATCTAAAACTAAACTATTCCTAAGCACTAAAGAATACACTCCAATCTTGGTCACAGGCGACGATCTTCTGTTCCCCATGATTAGATTGATCCTTCCTTGCTCCACATCCCTACTTCTTTTAGTCCCTGCACATTAGAACAAATGTGATAACCGCAACCGGTATCAAGAACCCAAGAAATAGCATGATTAGAATCGTTAGATTTGATTGTGTATATACCTGCGAAAGATGGCTTGATCTTTCCTTCCTTGATGGCTTGCAGGTAATCGGGCAGCTTCTCTTCCAATGTCCTATCTTGTGGCAGTGGTGGCACTCTGCCTCCTTGGGTTGGAACAGGGCTTAGAGGGATCAACTTTGGTCCCACTAGAAGAGGAACCATCTCGGGCTTTCACCTTTCGATAGTTATTCGATGAAGCTTTCCTCTTCTTTCCCTTCCCTTGACCAATAGCCAAGACAGGAGCAGCGGATGGATTGGGAGTTAGGTGCAACAGACTTGTCCTTGAAGTTGCTCTCAGCAACCCTCAAGAGACCTTGGAGTTTGCTTAGGGTGACCTCCTCTTTGTTCATGTGGTAGGTCATCCTAAATTGGTTGTACATCGGAGGCAAAGAGTGAAGCACCATGTCGATCGCCAAGTCTTCGCCGAAGTCAACATTTAACTTGCGAAGGCGGTCGACATACCTTTGCATCTTTTGCAGGTGCACGGTAAGAGATTCTCCATGACCCATCTTAGCGGAGATCATGTTAGTGAAAATCTCGTAACGCTCTTGTCTCGCGTTTTGGTGGTATCTCTCCAACAAGTCTTGATGCATCTCGTATGGATACATGTCCTCGTAGGACTTTTGGAATTCGGAGTTCATGGTGGCGATCATGATGCAATGTACTTCGTTGCATCTCGCTCATGAGTTTCAAAGGCGGTGATTTCGGCGGGAGTAGCAACTTCGGGGTTGATTTTCTCGAGCTTCTCATCGAGGACATACTCTTTATCCTCATAGCGAGCAATGGTGCGAATGTATCTTATCCATTCGCTAAAGTTCGTTCCATCGAAGGTGACCTTTTGGCAAAGGCTCATCAACGTGAAAGAACTAGCAGCAGCGTTGTTTGCGTTTGACATCTATAGAAAGGACAAAGATAGATTAGAACAAGAATCCCTAATTATCACCCAATAAGAAAAATTAGGGCTAGGATCCAACAATAACATTTACATACTAGAAAAGGGATGCCGTAATCTAATATGCAAATAAATTGAAGGTAAGTGAATGACGATTCACTAATTCTCCATTACAAAACTTAAACTATTAGTCCTAAGTGTTTTTGAGAATTCCTAGGTTCGGATGAGATTCATTGAACTATTCAATGGCATGTTTAAATCTCGATATGCCCCTCTTGTTTGTGACTGGGATGCCGAGGATCACAAAGCGGGTGTGAATTACCATGCAAATTCACATGGTGCCTTCATTGTAACGATCACCTATTCGATGTGCCGGTAAACCACACACGCTCCATCGAACTATGATAAACAATGAATCACCCTTTGCCACCTTCGCTTAGAACCAATTAGTGTGCCGGTAAACCACACACGCTCCACTAACTTCTTAGCAAGGTGCAAAGTGTAATTTCATGGGATTGCATCAATTCACTTTTCCTAAAGTAACTAAGATTGGGAAATTTTTAAAACGTGTAGTTACTTTGTGTTTCTTATTATACTTTTAATGAGAGGATGAGGTTGCCCTATCCTACCCGTTCGGCTAACGACCCTCCACCAATCAAGCAAGCGGTGGGTGTGAGTGTACACCCATTAAGCGCCATTTTATAGGCCGCAACCTTATACCCACCTTATAGATCGGCTTCGTGAATGAGGCCTACTAGGTAAGACTAGCATTTAGTTATACATATATATATATATATATATATATATATATATATATATATATATATATTATTCTAGTAATATCATATAGTATAGGGTTGTATTTTAAAACCTTTTAAAATCTAGGGTTTGAAATTTAAGTTGTCTAAATTAAAACTTTTAATCACAAATATAAATTTCAAAACTTTAGGGTAGGTTTTAAACATTTAAAACATGGAGGATCAAATAACAAATAATTCCAATTAACAATTAATATCCTAATTATCTTTATTTGATTTATCTAAGATTTCTTTCAAGATAATTATCAAAATAATTAATCATTATCATATAAGGAAATTAAATATTTTATTAGATGATAAATATCTTTAATTAGATCAAGATAATAGTCATATTTATCAAAAAATCGGATTTAGATTGATCTAATATGATTAAGGTAAGTTTCCATAAGATAATTATGAAAAAATCCCGGTTTTCCAAATCCTGACGCCCGGACTCGCCGAGTACACAAAGGGACTCGCCGAGTTAGGCCTACTCGCCGAGTCCATGACTCAGAAACCCAAAAATCGAATTTTGCAGGTTTGTTTCAGTTAATCAAGCAACAATTTAAAGAAAACCAAGCTAGGCTCTGATACCACTGATGGGTTTTAGCCATAAGAACTTTCCTATGTGCGCATGCAAAACCCTAATGCTCGGATCTAGGCTTTCTAATTAAACATGCTTTGAATCCAAGACTTCTAATGGCTAATTAGGTTAAATAACAACATTGAAATAGATCTAGAATCATACCTTTGGATTCCTTGTTGATCTTGTTGTCTTGGAGCTTCTAGAGTCACAAATATCACTCCTCTAATGGCAATAGCAAGTAAGATGATTTAGGAGAGAGGAGAGGAGAGGAATTCGGCCAGAGTATCTCTACTTTAGATGGTGTATCTAATTCCCTCACCCCTAGGGTCTATTTATACTTGTAGACTCCTTAAGGATTACAGCTTTAACCCTAATTGGATAACTTAGACTTTAAGTTGATCCATATCCTTTCCTTGATAACCCTATGGACGATTTTGGCTTATCCAAGCCCTAGAAATCGTCCATCCTATCATGGATAAGGATTTATAGTCTAAAGTGTAACTATCAAACAATTGATAGTTTATACCCTCTTATTTAATTAATCTCTTTAAGTCACCAAATTAATTCCAATTAATCTATGACTTATATTAATCAAATAACTATATATTATTCCTTATAATATTTACTCTCTCTTAACAAATCATCCATCAAATTGCTATGGTGAAGGCAACCCAAAAGGACCATGCACAACTGGATCAAATACTTGCCTAATATAGTTGCAGCCTTAGACACTATTACAACAACTTATACCCTTAAGGTGTGTTTAATGGAAATAAGTTTGTGTACTTAGACCATGTTTAAATTTCACCTTGGTGACGTCGAGAAGTTAGGTGTGTTCGACAAGAAGATTGAAAATGAACTCTAATCAGTTTACTCATGTAATTCGGCCGCACAAAAGAAAATAAATATACAAGAATTTGATTTTGTTGATATTGAGAGCTTCTCACACAAATCAAATGGTTGTATATTTATTTTCTTGTGTGCGACCAAATTATAATAGTAAAGTAATTGGAGTTCATTTTTAATCTTATTTTCAAATACACCTAACTTATCGACATCATCAAGGTGAACTTTTAACATGACCTAAATACACTAAGATATTTCCCTTAAATACACCTTAAGGGTGTTAGTACACTAAGGTATTTCACATAAAACCACAAACTCATTATGCCGTATGCTTACATAGTTAGAACTTAAAAGGTGCACTAGCATACTTTAGACGGTTGATTTATATGCTACTATGTGTTGGCTAGTTGATTGTATTTTCTTACTTGATAGATAGGCCAATAGTAGTTTGAGGTAACGAGAGTGGAGCGAATGTTCCAGACTTCAACTACCGATTTAAATTTCTGAAACAATGATATTAAACGAACAACTTTAACAAGTTGGACGGTCAAATATGAACAAAAAAAAATTATCTACATGTGAACAATACCAATAGTTCATCACCCTCCTGGGTAATTATCTTTGCTACGTTGTATATGTCACGTAAATTGTAACTTGTTATAGTTGGTCATAAGAGTTATATATGAACATTTCCAACAAATTCGTTGCCTACATGTATAAAAAAAAAAATTATAAATGTAAACACTTTAAATAAGTTTATAATTCTAACATGTCAATTTGGATGTTTTTAGTTGTGTTATATATAGTATGTATGAACAAAAGGATTTTGGCCTAGCTGGTGAATTGTTGTCCCTCCCTTTTCAAAGAAAAAAAATATATGTACGAAATTATTTGAAGTTTTAATGTTTGCTCTAAGTTGAACAATTTTGAAAAAGAGGATAAAATATTGGAACAATCAATAAAGTTATAAGTTAAGATTAAAGCGGCTGGCACTAGTTTGGACTCTCGTCACCAAATTAAATCCGTTTCAACATTCATGTTTTTCGTAATCAATAATAGAGGACCTCAACAAGCAATACCATCATTCCCACGTTTTTCATGACTCCTTGCCGGAAGAGTTTAATAATCCCCTGCATCATTTTTATATATTTATATATCTTTCTCTTACCTTCTCAAAACCTCATTTTTTTTATTAGTTGTTATTTTCAAGAGACTAGGCAAGCCACCACTACTGGATTTCAACAAGGTATACTTTGGTGGCAATGCATCTGCCATAAGTTTAATCTATATCTTCTAAATTCAGATCCGATTAGGTATTAATACTAACTCTCCTCATGATCGCAAATTAAAATGACAAAAGTATGTTTAATTTGTACGAATAAACGTTTCACATGCAATCGTGAAGAAAGAAATGATATCTTACTAAAATTATAATAAATTTGCCTTTGAAAAGTTTGATATCATATATGCTACGTATATAAAATACGATTCCAGTGGTTATTGCTATCGATATGTAGTGCAATAGGTACAGTAGGAGAGCAGGCTTAAATCTTAATTAGTTCCAATGGTTGAGCTCAATGCAATAATCCGGCAGAATCCTGCACCACCAACGCCACCACCACCACCACCACCATCACCGTTGCAACAGAATCTTCCTTGTCAAGATTTTCTTGCTGGTAAGTTTTGTATATCATACAATGAATCTTATCATTATAATTGGTGCTCAACCTTAATTTACAGAATAGGTTTTGTCATTAACTTGATATTGGTAATACTTAGATGACAGAAGAGGAGAATTCAATGACATTTGTGTTCGTCTATGCAAAGCATCAATCAAAGGAGATTGGAAAACTGCAAAAGCCATTCTTCAAAAGAACAAAGAACTCATCCGTTGTAGCATCACCGAAAAACATGAAACAGCACTTCATGTTGCAGCATTAGCCGAAAGCACCAGTTTCGTGAATAATCTTGTGGAAATCATGGAACCCAAGGACTTGCTACTTCAAACGAAAACTGGCGACACTGCCCTCTGTTTAGCAGCTGCAGCTGGAAATGTCAGGATGGCAAAGATCATGGTGGCTAAGAACGACAGCCTACTGAACATCCGTGGTAGTGAAGGATTAGAACCACTCTGTGTTGCTGCATTTTATGGAAACCGTGATATGGTGGATTATCTTTATGAAAAGTCTAACAAAATGACAGGGCTTGATTGGAAAGCTTCAACTAAGCAATGGCTTTTGTTAAAATGCATTGAGTTTGACCTCTTTGGTAAGATTTGTCATGTGCTTGGATTTTTGGTGATTGGTAAGTGATTTTGAAATTATTCGCAGATGCTGCACTAAATATACTCGAAGACCACCCAGACCTCGCTCAAAGTGGGACTATACTCGGAGTTTTGGCTCAAAAGCCTTATGCATTTAACGAACCACAACCACATATCATTTGGAGAATCATCAAGTCAAGTAAGTAGCTATTATCCATATTTTTTCATAAATTAATGATCTTCAAGTGTAAGTATTGTTGATCTGTTTTTTGCAGCCATTTGTTTGAAGGTAGGACCTGATGCAAGGGAAAGCCAGGCCATGCAAGTTCTAAGAAAAGTTTGGACAAGAATTGTTCAAAGGCCAAAGGCTGAAGTAGATAATATACTCAGAGGTCCAGGGACTGTGATTAATGGAAGGGTAATATACTCCTGTCATATACTGTTTGTTGCAGCCGAAATGGGGAACACAGAGTTTGTACTTGAGCTTATTAGTAAATATCCTGATCTTATATGGAAGAACAATGAAAATAAACAAAGTATATTTCACATTGCTGTGTCTCATCGTAATGAGGGTATCTATAAACTATTATATGAGATAGGATCAATGAAGGATATGATAACTCGTCTCACAGACACAGATCGCAATAATATGTTGCATTTAGTTGGTAAGAATGCAGTGAAAAACCGACTTGAGGATGTCTCGGGAGTAGCTTTTCAAATGCAGCGTGAATTAATATGGTTCAAGGTACATCGTCGATCATTCTCTTCAAGCTACGTGATTTGTGACAAAATATGGATATATAATAACTTACATTGTGGTGCAGGAGGTAGAATCTATGATTCCTCCTTTTTATAGAAAAGAGAAGAACAATGATGGGTTAACACCACTTGAATTATTCACCGAAAGCCATAAAGATTTAGTGTCGAAAGGTGAGGAATGGATGAAAGGAACAGCTAGTCAATGCATGGTGGTTGCTGCACTTATAGCCACCATCGTGTTTGCAGTTGCTTTTACAATTCCAGGTGGTTACAACCAAAATGGACTTCCTGTGTTCCTCCCAAAAGGACTCTTCATAGCATTTGTCATAGTGGATGCAATTTCTTTAGTTTTATCCTCGACTTCAATCCTTGTGTTCTTATCCATCCTTACATCTCGTTATGCTCAACAGGATTTCTTAAAAGCATTACCCAAAAAGTTATTGATAGGTCTAGGAACACTTTTCCTCTCAATAATGACTATGATGATTGCTTTCAGCATCAGCTTCTTCTTGCTATATGAAGAAAAGTTAATCACGGTAGCAATTCCAATTAGCATATTTGCTGTTATACCTATCATTTCATATGCTAAACTTCATTATCCTCTTCTGATGGATTCGTTTCACTCGACGCGTAGTTCAAGATATCTCTTTAAACCGCGGAGACGACTGTTTTTCTATGAAAATCCCAGATTGTAATTATTACGATTGTTTGAATTTGAGCTTCCATTTACTAACTTTGATTATGTGTATTGGAAAGATGCATTTAATGTGTAGTTTAAAACTATTTAGTAGTACGAAAAAAGAACTTAGTAATGCTAGATATTTGTAACATCCAAAATTTTTCAACCAATTTAAACTTTTCAACAACAACCCCTATTTATTAATTCATTACAAAAAGGTTCTCAATTCATTTATTATCAGAGTATTTCTCAAAACCACAACATAAGTACATAAAACATGAGGAGCGGTATGATCACGCTATCGCCTTGCCACGATCTCCTGAAGTACCTGAAATAATACACTGAAAACTGTAAGCCTGAAAGCTTAGTGAGTTACCCCCAAAATACCAACCACATATACCATACTCATAACATATCATATCATAAACAGAACAGCCATTCACTTCGGGTCTACTGCGTGACTGGTCTGCCGCACCGGGCCTTCAGTCCACCTGGTCCACCCTCCGAGTCTAGCCATATATATTGAGTCTGCAGTGTGGTTGGTCTGCCCGCACCGGGCCTTCAACCCACCTGATCCACTCTCTGAGTCTACAGTATGACTGGTCCGCCCGCACCAGGCCTTCAATCAGCCTGGTCCACTCTCCGAGCCTCGGCACGTCTTGTCCGCCCTCGTGGGGCCTACAGCCTATCCGGTCCGCTCGTTGGGCCTTCGGGATATCTGGTCCGCCCTTGGTATGTTGGCTTATAGCACAAAGCAGGACCCGCCTCAACCCAACCTCATTCAATCAACCATGTGCACATAAACATGTAATCATATAGTAATTCATCACTAATCAACCGATCTAGCAGATCACATACATAGCACACCCTAACCAGGACACCGACCTAACCGGTCACCAACATAGCATCATCCTATATACCAGGATTCCGACCTTAACCAGGTCGCTAACATATATTATCCTAACTACCAGGATGCAAACATATAGCAAAGCAATAACATAAGAATTATCTGGATTTCCATCCAATAAAGGGCCGGCCTTGGTGCCTTAGACCCTGTCGATATAGTGAGCATAACTCACCTCGCAAAGCCGATCTGCAGAAGTAAGATCACGCTGCTCCAACCTCCGACACGAACTCCACCACCGATCAATGCCAAAAGACTAAACTCAATAAATACCAATAATTACCAAAATACCCTTGGAAGTCAACTGGTCAACTCTTGGTCAAAGTCAAAGTCCTCCTTCCTGTGTGACCCTACTCGCCGAGTCGCCCTATCGACTCGCTGAGTCCCACAATTATGAGTCCCTTCTCGCTCAGCTCACCGAGTCATCCCTCGATTCACCGATTCACCGTTCAACCAGAAATGGTTAGGACTCCACGACCAGACTCGCCGAGTCCAAGGCAATCTTCAACAGACTCGCCGAGTTGTTCTTCCAACTCGTCGAGTCCCTGCCTATCTTCATGCAACTCGTCGAGTACACCCATGTGACTCGCCGAGTTACTACGCGACTCATGCCTAATCTCTAGTCCGACTCGCCGAGTCATCTCCCAGACTTGCCAAGTCCAAACGTGAAGTTCCATAATCTCGAGTCATAAAGTCACTCCCTTACTCCAAACACTAGATCATGGTCCCTATGGTTCATTAGCAACATAAAGTTGCTACCTTTACGTGCTTCCATGACCAATTCATCAAAAACCAAGTTAAAATGGAACTTAACTCATTAGGGTTGGCTTTTGCATGGTTAATCAAAGGGCTTTCTTCACATAGAATCCATATGGAACTCAGATCTGGAGTTTCAACTCCAGATCTAACCCATGCATCAAGATCTCAACATAAATTCTTCCAAACAAACCCTAAAACTCTAAAAAGGTGGATCTAGAAGGAATAAAGCCAAGATGACGAATCTTTACCTCAAAACAACCTCCAACTGAAGAGTAAACCAAATCTCCTCAAGCCTCCTTGATCCAAGCTCCTTAGTCTTGAAGATTTCCTTCTTAAATCACTTATCCAAGCTCCAAAATGCTCCCAAGGCTCATCTCTTATGATTTTAGGGCTTCTGGTTCTCAGAGGGGTGATAAGGGGCCGAAATGGGGGCTTAAGGGTCCTTAAATATGGTGCAACCCCTAGGAATTAGGGTTTCTCATTCCAGCATGGACTCGCCGAGTCCATCCTGCCGACTCGTCGAGTTGGTCACTAGACACGTGACCGCAATTTCGACTCGACTCGTCGAGTCTATCCATTGACTCGCCGATTCGATCCTCCTTAATTACACCAAGCACCCTGAACTTGCACTTCTGAACTCAGGGTGTTGCAATTCTCCCCCACTTAAATTAGGCTTCGTCCTTGAAGCCTGCAGAAACACATCCCAAATGACACTCCCTCAATACAGCTCCTGGTCTCATCCAACCCAGGTTCCTCCGAACACTACTATCGGACCTCTATAAAGTCCAACTCTTCCCTCCCAGAGTTACGAAAACTGATTCAAGCCGGCCACCAGCTTCTTTCTCTGATAATAACCCTTATTAACCAATGATCACCCGATGATACTTTCATCACTCCAATTCACAACAATCACTTTACCCTTACCAAGCTAGATATCACCCTGAACCACCGGGTCCTGACCCGGTACCAAGCTGCTACCCCTTTCCTTGACTGGCATATCCTTTATCGAATTCACTTCTGGGACTCATCCCGCTTTCCTGTCCAAAACAAACTCGTTTCTTTCCGAGCTAACAGGATGGCACATCCTTCAGCCCCTAAACAACTCTCATGAGCTCTCCCCAATAGTCACATATGCATGTTGAACCTGCTCTAACATCCTCGGGCTGGAAAACACGACATACTGACGATACCTTCAAACATCCCCATGATGAATTACCGCTACATATATAACTTCCTGATCACAACCATACTGGAAAATCCAAGGCTCCCTCCTTGCATCCCCTCCGAACTCCTCTGGTTCTACACTACTGGAAATCCTTCCGCAACCTCAACAGACACCCAACCCGGATGTGTTTCCATACCACTGGTACAATCCCAGTACTCACTACCCATAGCTGAAGCACTGTCGATAATCCACTTACTACACTTCCTTCTATTTTGGAGTACCCACGCTCCTTCCGGAGCTATATGCCTTTCCTTTCCAGGAAATCCACTCAACAACCCTTATTGCACCTGCACATGCCACTGAGCTACACTTCACTCTACATTATCCATGGAGAGCAACTGCTATTCTCGAACTTCCATATACCCCGAATCTGCTCGCAAGGACTCTCGGGTCCATGCACTGCTTTCCATTAACATGATCACTACTTGGGGCCAGACCATATCAATTATCATCCCTTGGTGACACTTTTCCTTATTCTCCTCGTACCGATCCACTAACACATACAGAGTCTTCAGCATGACTGGACCGCCTTACCAGGCCTTCAGCCTATCTGGACCACTCTCGGAACCTTCAACATATCTGGACCGCCCTCCTAGGCCTTCAGCCTGTCTGGACCGTTCCCCCAAGCCTTCGACCTGACTGGTACACCCATAGGCCTCCAGTCTATCCGGACCGCTCAAACTGTCTTATGTCACCCTGAACCATTCCTTCAAGGAATCTCTCCCGTACATACTGTTCTAGCCCTCTTGGGGTTCCGAACTCTAACTCCATTCTTTATACTCAAATCTCGGCCCAACCCTGGTCTGTATCCCACCCCACTCGTCTGCCACTTACTCATACCATCCCACGCTCTTGGCTGACTGAAACACTGCTGAAACCCACACAGCTAATTGACCTCTCATGTTGTCGATCCTCCTGAGAATTTTCCAATTCTCCCCACTTAGAGCACTGACTACAAACCACCGGTGACTAAACCGGCATAATCAATCATTCCAACTCAACATACTCCTCTTACCCATGAATTGATCCTGAAACAAGAAACTTCCACAAAATCACGTTCTGACCTCGTACATCTCAAACTCTAAGGGAGATCAACCCTAAGCTGAGTATTTCTTAAATTACAAATCCTATACACGACACACGGACCAAAAAGCCTAATCCCCCACCAACAATTCCCATGGATGATAACCAACTAAGACTCCCAATATGAAAACCCTCGATCATACGATAAACCCGACGAAAAGACGAACGCATACCATAGCATGAATCGTGCGAACGAGACTAGCAGATATAAAATACTCCATAACAACCATAATATAACAAGATATCAAGAAGGAAACATACCCGCAGCTGTATTCGGCTCTGCCCTGACCTCCTCTACTATAAGCTGAAAAGCACGTCCCTGAGCCCTCGAGGGCTCTGCTCCACCCTGACCTCCACCCGTAATCCTCAAAGTGGCCGGTGCTAGAGCCTGCACTGGTCCGGCAGTAAGTTGAGGACAATTGACCCTCATGTGACCAACCTGATGACACTGATAACAAATCTTCATATCCTAAATTGGGGCTGACTGACGGTAATCCCTCACATAATGCCCCTCTCTCCCACACTTGCGGCACGCACCACCGGACCTACAAAATCCGGTGTGACCCTTCCCGCACTTCCCACAAGTGCGGCTGCCCTGATCTCCCAACCTAGAATCAACGGTCTTGGACCGTCTCGGTGCCGGCTGCGACTGCATCGGGGCCTGCCTCTGCTCTCTCAACTACAACTCAATCTTGAACTCACGCCGCAGAGCGGCCTCCTGCAACTCTAACAAGGTATCACATCTCTGCGTGGACACAAACTGCCTGATGTCCCTCTTAAGCATACTCAGGTATCGTGACATCTGAGCTTGCTCCGAAGAAAACTCAGGGCAAAACATCGCCCTCTCAGTAAACATCCTGTTGATCTCCGTCACTGACTTTGTATCCTGCTTCAGCTCTAGGAACTCGTGAGCCAACCTCTCTCTTTCTCAACTCGTGGAACATAACGAGTGCTGAACATCTCCCGGAACTGATCCCATGTAACCGCAGCCCGTTGCGCATCAGAATAAGACCCCGTAGTCAACCTCCACCAATCCATCACCCCG